TGTGGTAATGTCTGACTTCTTGGCGGTCAGCTCGCTGGTGGCGTCTAAAAGTAATATGAAACATATATGTAAAAGCAAAGCTGAGTGGAACACATTTTCCTTGCAACTTACCTAAGACGCTGCCCGCATGCACTACGAGTATGAGTATGGTGGTGGAGCAAGATGGCGCGCCGGGCGAACCCGGTGGCGACGCATCATGGGTGCGATCTACGCTGGCCGAAGAACGCAGCTGTCGCTTATTGCCACGCTCGGAGGCAACACGCATTAGGAAGTCTTGATTGAAAATACTGTCTTCTTGACTGTCTTTATACGCGACACCACTACTCGGTGGCGGACTGTCGTCACCTTCGCCGAGCAGCTCAAGCGAACTCCATTTGGCGAGGGAGTTGGTCTCGTTGGTATCTGAGAAAAAAAACAGTTATAAGAGATGGTAACATACATAAAAATCTGAATTCAGTACATACCAACGCAATCGAAGAACTCTTCATCGGAGTTGGATTTGGTGTCCACCTCCAGGCGCTCCATGCGCCAATTTGCAACCTAAAAGGGGGAATTTATTTGCATTAGTTTTTGGTTTGATGAACAATAAGTTATTGTGCATTTTTAGTTTCGTTTGGAAACTAGAAATTTTCTACATAAAATTCAAGTAACCCAACAAAAGAACTAAATACATTCATTTAGTATACAAAAACAAACTTACATTTTTATGGTGAACATTCTTAGCATGCGGCTTTTAGTAGATTTCGTTTTTGTAAAAATATCAAACAAAACAATTAAATTAAATATAGGGAAGCCAGAAAAATGCATAGTTTGAAAACAAAGAAAAGGTACTTGAATATCTTGAAGGCATTAATTTTGAGAACAAAAAAAAAAAACTCGTTTAGTTGGATTGCGTAAAATGGCAGCTAAAAAGGCCTTGACTTGGCTACAAATAAATGAAACTGCACTAAAAACTGTTTAAGCTCATTCAAAAATAAAACTACTTCAAAGGATCGTAAAACTAAAGTGCACAAATTTGGTATTTCAGAGGTCGCTTTCTAGAATGTTCTTTCACACAGAAATCAGTCAATTCAGGGGCATTTTGTCATGAGACATATTTATGTATATTAGGGTGGTCCAAAAATACACGCGTGTAGAAGAAACTTTTAAAATTTTAAACTCTCACCCCCTAGGATATTTCTAAGTGGAAAAAGGTAAACCCGCACCAAAGGGCAGAAGGCTCTTCAATTCTCTCAAATGATTACGAAGATAAGTACGGTATCTATTTCGAGGTTAGATTTAGTTGCTGTATTAACACACAATGAGACACCCATTAGTGTTGACAGGCCGTTGACGTCAGAAATCGCCAATTGGTTCTCGAAAAAACCGTCAAGTCAAGAGACAAAAAAAAATATATATATCTATGCATTGAGTTAAATAAAATTCATATTAATGTATTGAAAACAAAATTCCCTGATAAAAGTGTTATATTTATCAGCGATTTTTATATCGAACTTTTTAAATTGGAAAATAGACTAAAGACGACTAGGTATCTTGTTCGTTCCGTTTCCCTGCTATTGAGCTTAAACTGGGCACTCACCTAATTCCGAGTTTAAGACCCTTCAGTTTTATACTCGTTCGATGGTTTCGTTTTCGGGTAGACATTGTTAAAGGCCCCGCGATCTCTAAAAGGACAGTCAGTATAGTCTTTGTAGTGCAGTGATTTCAAAACTAGGTATATGCAGAAATTCTCAAGCCTATCCATTGTCTATTTTTATCCTTAATTTTCAGCTACTTCATTGCTCTCCAAGCTATTCAAAAGTACGCGCTCACATTGAAAGCAGAAGGCACAAATTCAGTCACATATATCGCAAAAATTAGCAACATTCACATTAATAAAAAAAAACGTAAAACACCACTTCCAACACCAAAACTTTCCGAAATGATTACACCCATAACATTTTAAACACGCAAAACAAACTTCAACATACCTGCAAATCGAAACTATGCGCCGATCCAACTGGTGAATGCAGTGCACCTTTCGAACCAAATTTCGCCTTAGTCATTTGTATGCTCTGCGAACGTGAACGTGCGCTCACTTCCTGTGCAGCCTCCTCCTCTTCATCCTCATCCGAAGTTCCTTCAGCGCTTGGCGGTTCTTGGGTAACAATAGGTGGAGGCGCGCCACCAGACTTTCGACGTTCACTGCCCGTGCTGCCTGCAATGGGCCGCGCATGCAAGTCAGCCACGCTATCAGCTATTTAAAATACAAAAAATGAGTTTGCAAAACTTGCTCTTAAAATAATTAATTTTTTTTTTAACTCCTCCACGCACCATCCTCCGCATCACTCTCGCTCTCTTCGGCACCGCCCATTTTCTTTGCCAAAGCTAGCTGCGTTTGACGCTCAATCTCACGTATATCTTCAATTGTCAGACCGTGCCACTCATCTTGCCACGCCCATGCCTGCCGATGTGCGCGCACCATGGTTTTCCGCAGTGCTACATCGTGTATGAATTTCTCGAGCTTAGTTTGCATACCCCAGTAACGAAACTCGACACGACAGATTTTATAGGCGCACATAAGCGACATATTGCGTGCTGTGGGCTGCTTCTTGCCCTTCACTTCGCGCCAATATTCCTCCAGCCAATCTTCGCTCAATGGACCGCGGCCAGTTTTCTCAGATACAAATAGCTTAGGATCTTCCTCCTTTACATAATCACCGCCATAGAGTTGATCTTTGACGATGTCAATGACGTCTGCAATGGAGAATAGCGCGCACAAAAAAAAAGTGTGTCAAATATGCAGTTATAAAGAAATGAAAGTGCTAAAAAGATTGAAATGAATAATTTGTTGAACACTCACCCACAATGCGATTTCTCAGGTCGCTGCCGCTCAAATTGAATACATTTTCCTGATAACCATTATCTGGGAAGTAATATGTTTCAATGTCCAACGAAAATTTCTCAACAAAGGGGCAGGTGTAGCGCGTGCGTGTGTAGGGATAAGCATTCCATGCCTCCTCCTCCACCGTCAGGGCGCTCTTTGGCAATAAACCTGTGTGGCAAAAAATGCTATAGTACTCGTAATTTATAATAATAGCAACAAAAACGGTAATAACTAAGTTTGGAATTAGCAACGCTCATTAAATTTAATTGAGTAGTTCTCATTAACCACTTGCCACTTAACTCACTTTTTATCCAACCGGGCAAATGGCTGCCCACATGATAGATTTTCTTCGTATACTGCCCACCATTCCCGCCGGGCCCATCTTTGTAGGGTTCATTAATGATAATTTCCACGCCACTTCCCTCGCCATGACTTTCTTCGCGACTTTTTTTCTGCAGTAAGAGGGGGGTGGAAAAGATAATTTGATTTAATGATTTACTATATGAACTCGTTATTTGCTTTGATTGCAAGTTCAATGTTGTTGGCCAATAATGTGGTGCGCGCGCCACTTACCGCTATCATATACAACTGTGCGATGCGATATTCCTCGACCGTAAGCGGTAAGGGTATACGGTATTCTTTTATCAACATTTTGCTGTGCTGCGAATGCCGGACTCTTTTCAGGGGGTGGACTCATATAACGCGTATTTTTGTCTGTAGTCAGTTACTTGTGACTAAATACTTTCCAACTTTCTAGTTACTTTGGTTACATTTAATTACTAACGCATTTTTGTTAAAGCAGTTTTTGCTTTGTATGTTCGGGCGAGTACTACTTGGTTGGTTCATGGCTTGTATTGAAGTAAGTAATCTGGAGTAGAATTCTGTGAAATGGAAGCATACATATTTTCGTTGTGAATTCACGATTACCTATAAGTACATGCACATCTTCAAGGCCATTGCTGAATTCATCTAAGCTTCAAGAATTCAGGAAATTTATGATATTGCTTCAATTGAAACGGAATGGCAACAACGTATGGCAATACCTCAGATATGTATACTAGGGCGATACTTAAAATGTCAACATTATGGAGCACCACTTTATTTTGTTCTACGGACAAAACAAAAAATTCCAACGAAAAGTTCCAAATTAAAACAGAGTTTAAGAGTTCGCTACCAGGGTGTGAAAAAATTTTATTTTTTTAAATCACCAAAAATTATACAGAATTTGTAATTAGACCAGCTATAACTCAGCGAGTTTATAAATTTTTGTGAAGAAGTATCAATAGTATATCAAATTTATTAGATGCAAAGTCAAAATTTGGTCGAATTTTTGCGATTCTTTTCATAAATTTAAATTTTTTGAAACCCTGGTAGGGACCTCTTATTTTTTTTTTTTATTTTTTTTTAACTTTGATGGATCTCTTTATTTTGCCCGTAGAACAAAATAAAGGTGGTTGTGCCCCATACAAAATTAAGCTATTGAAATTTTAAAAGAACTACCCTAATGTATACGCTCGTAACAATTCGAATTAAGTTATAGCATTTTAGAAAATTTCACAAAATCGAACCTACGATGAATTTAGCAATAGGCCCGATTAGAATATTGATTATTTTCCAATTTATTATTATATATTATAAATAAGGTTTAAAAAGCAACTTTTTAGAAATATTTGTATGTAACTTTGAAAAAAAACAGTATACCTCTTTTGGTTGCAATTAAAGATTACATTTTTATCTGGGTTTTCTACTGAAAAGCCAAAAAAAAAAACAAATTTAAATCAATTTCGACAACTCAAAGGTATTCAGTTGCATACAAAAATTAACATAAATTTGAAATATTCCATGTCAATCAGATCATGACTTCGACCAAAATTTTCAGTACTTCAAATCTGTATATTTTGAAGATGAGCGTGTCTACTTTCAGAGGCTTCGAGCACCTTTCCGAAATTCAAAATAGCGTTTCTAAAATGGCTCTCGAAAATCGAGAAACATACAGTTTCAAACACGAGGAATATTACCAGGGTGCCAGTTTAAATTGAAAATTTGTAGGAGCCCATTTCGAATGCGCCATAGAGTAGTTGAACTTCCTACACCCGACCATTGAACGGCTGCGCTGCTGATAGCACCAGTGCCCCATTTCCAGAAGTCTTGCGTCCTTTCTTCTTAGTGATATCACTTAGTCTGTTCGTACTCTCAAGTATGACGTTATACTACTGTGACTAAGTACGCATCTTGAATCCAAGCTGACACAAATTTACTAGCCAGAAATACGATTGCTTTATAAAAGAGAGAACAACTTCGAACTTCTGATACGCGGTTTTGCATTATTTTGATACGCGGTTTTACACTTTAAACGATGATATGTTCATCCTTCTAATTTCATCTGTAGTTTGTTAACCCCAAGCGTCTATAAAAGTGGTGGTAACATTACTCCTTATAGTGCACCTTTATGCACGTTCCGCCTGATATTTCTACGCGTCTAACATTAGATTAAATTAGTGATTTTTCGGAGCGTAGACGGTCCCATCTATTTAAGCTTTTTTTCGATTTACTGTTAAATGCTTCAAGGGAAATCTAGAAAGACTTCCTTTAGTGTATTCCCCACTTTCCATTGCCTCTTCAGCTCAAAGGGCTTCAGCAGAAAAGATTTTAGCCGTATAGGCATCTTATTTATTGTGAAAGACCACTTCTATAGTCCTCCATTTTTTTTTTGATATAATTTAGCTTAATTCAGCCTTAAGATATGTACATATGTTTATAGTACATGTTAATGTTTTTTGAAGCAAGGCTAATAAATTTCAATGTATTTAGTGACCCTTTTATCTTTCCCAGAGCTACTAAATTTTTTTGCAGCCTGGTTCGCTCCTTCGGGTTCTCAACTTCATCCCCCCGTGGGCTCCTGTGGAAAAGTCTACTATGAGTAAGGCCGCTAGTAATTTTACGCTGTTCTGTGTCCATGTTCTTTCCCCTGTGTTCATAAGCTCCAGAATAATGGGACTTAAGAGTGGAATTTTCTTAAAGCTCAGTTATGCAAGACTTAGACCTGCCTTGACTTGAAAATTGTATATCTGGAAAATGAGCAGCGTGTTTGTAGTTACTCAAAAACCAACTTCACTTAGAAACTTGGAGAATAATTGAATTTTGATTTCCAAGTTAAATTTCTAAGTGCAAAGAGAGCCGTGAGAGAATCATGCTGCCATTTCATTTTTTCATAAAATCCCTACAAATATGCCACAAAAATATAATTTTTTGTATAAATGTAATTCATCTGGCAATCGAAAAACAAAATTTCAAATAAAGACAGAAAATTAAATAAAAACAAGTAAGAGCAGCGCTGTCTTCGGCTATGCCGAAGGCTTCATACCTTTCATGAACATCTGCAAATTTTAGTTTGACAGATTACTGCTTTTGAATACATCTGCATACATCGATAGAGGAGTTACATACTTATATAAAAAATCGCATCTAAACAATCAGAGGTATGGAAGATATACTTTATATGACACCAATCTAAGTGATTTTCACTTCGTTCGGCACTAAAAGCTGGGTTATGCAAGACTTAGACTTGACTTGACTTACCTAGAAACTTGGACGTGATTACTCAGCGTATCACCTATTACATTTTCTCTTCATTTTGATTCTCAGCACTTGTATATGTGCACGTAAATTTTAAACGTTCAGTTTGTTTTTACACCAAAATAACTTAAAAATTACTATTAAAATATATGTACTTTACCCGTTTAAATTGTGATTGTTATACCTTTCATGAGCATGAAATGGTATTATAACTTTGGTCCGATGTTTGTA